AAACTACGGCAATGAGAAAGAGGGACAAGAACGAGAAAGAACAAGAACAAGGAGGGGGAAGGAGGGATGAGATTGAGGACTGGTACCAAAGTACGTGGAAGCTGCCGCACCATCGATTAGACAGAGAGTACTAAAACAGAAGGTATACAACCCAAAATCAAAGGGTTTTGAATAGCTGCGCCTCGTATATCAGATGCTTCTATTGTCAGGACGGTAGTGGTACTCATGGAATATTTTGATTTTTACTGAGTATTTTCCAGCCTTGCCCTTGTTCCTTTATCCTGTCTATTTCCCGTCATCCCCAACAAGTTTTTATGCAAGGAAATGATCTTAATTTTAAGAAATCGGGTCCGACAAAACTTGCAAGTCTTCATAGCTAAAACATCTTCTGCAGAGCAACGACAGTTCCTGGCGTGAAATCCAGTTTTTTTCTTTCCTTAATTTCGAAGTTGCAGTGTTGCTCACCATTATTTCAGTGCAATATTCCTCATGAAACCTGAAAGATTTTCTAATCCACTGTCGCTTCAAAAACGTTACTTTTAGCCGAGCAGAAGCATTTTCACACTACAAACGCTTCTAAATTCCTGGATCTAGTAACGGCAGAAGAAGCTGAGTGGAGGGTCGAACGTATTACATGGGCATATTGCGTGTTTCTGGACGCTCATGTTTTATGAGTCTTTTTACGCATGTTTACGATGTGAAAGCACTTTTTCATTTATCATACTTTCAAATAATTTTACTGGTAACGCTGATTAGCTTATTTCATTATTAAAACGGTTTCAGATGCACCACTATCCGATGTCCAGTAAACATCATTCCATACGCTTTCTCGCTCCAAAAATGCCAATGTGGACATTCAATGTTAGTGATGCCGCCGAAAAATTTCAGTGTGTTGGGTCCCCTTCATCCGCTAGAAAATTTTTCCGATGTTGGACAGTGCTCCAGACAACAGTATGAGGCTTATCGTCTCTCACACCTTGTCAGGGTGTGTTATAATATATTAAAAATGCTAATTTGCACGAAGAGAGTTCTATTGCTGGCATATGCCTTCCCTCATCCCTCTTTCCTTATTTCATCTTCGGCCTCAACGGCTTGTTTGGATGGCGGTTAGACTACGCTGAATTAGAATATGCAATCACTGGCACTGCTTTGTGCTGTGTAAAAAAACAGATTCCACCTCCTGATCATTTCTGCATTTTACATCACTGCATGGAGTCGCTGGAAAAACAACGTGCTACTGGACTGGCTGACGACGAAGAAGTGCTTCCTGCTCCCTCAAAGAAGTATGTGTATGGAAGAATTGGACCAGCTTATCGGGTAACTCAGCGTCGCTCCTCCAGGATGCCAGTATTTTTGATATCCACCGTGCTAATGCAATTGGTACTAGCAACAGCCAAAGGCTTGGTAATCTTTTAAAACAGTGCTTTTTATATAGGTTTGGGCAAAATGATGCTTCTGTCAAGGCGGTAGCATCCTAAGGAGTGAATTTTTCTGTTTCAAATTAATTTAGCCGATAAAACTATTTCCAAGAAATTATTTTCATCTTTTTTTTAATTGTTTTCTTTTTTGCATGTATACCGCTTTTACAAGCAGACAGATCAGAAAATCAATTTTGCCGCGTTGCGCATACTTGCGCAGTCTCGAAAACATTTAGCATCTGGAAACAGTTTTTACGGTGAAAATTATTTGCCAGAATTGCAACTCGTGGATCTGTGCAACTGCTCCTTGGCACGATCCAGCATAATGAGTTTTCTGACAGAATTTGCTCTCTTTCTAAATCACTTTCCATCTCGTCCGCAGTGTCTTTTCCCTTGCTCAAATTACAGCTCTTGTTTTTTTTCGGGCAATTTTCGCGTCCTTAGTGACTCTAATTTTCTTATCCTTAAAAATACTTCCCTTTTTTATAAGCAGTTCGATGGATGCATTAGTTCTGCTGCACTACGCATACATTCCGTGGTCGAGCTGGTGTTTCGAGTATGCTTATTATGTGGAGATAGCTTGCCAGTTTTCCAAGCTAATTCTCTCGTCCAAGGAGATACAAAATTAGCAATCATGGAAAAACTTCAGCAGAGTCAAGTCGCTGCCCCTTTGGTCACAAGTAGGGAATTTTATTCTAGCTTAGTATTAACACTGCCGAAAGATGGTTAAACGTTTCAAGAAAGGATGTTCAGTGCATAAGAGTGAAGAAAGAACAACCAACAGAATACAGCACTGAAAACAAATAATTATAGCGGCAGTGCAGATTAATAACAACAATAGTGAGAGCACTTGAGAAAAGTAAGTACTTGAGAAAAGTCAAAACCCACCACGGTATGCGCTCGCTATGAAATGTGGAAGTACTTTCTGCTAACGATCTCCTCAAGGTTATCGTTGGATTCTTGCTTAGAAGCAAGCTAATGGCGGAATTGATTCCCAATTTACTGTTAAAATGGATATGCGAGGTTGGTGCCATTGGTAAAGTCGTAGTTTTGGTCTCCGGCACGGCAACAGCGGTACTTCCCAAGCGCCAGCTATGAAGGGAGCAAATTATGAGATAAAGAAAATATGTGCTTCGGACAAAATTCTTCGCTAAAAGATTTACACCGCAAAATTTTTCTTTTTTCTGGAAAAAAAAGGATGTATCGGACACACCTTTGGTTTACTATTAGCCTTAATAAAAAAAACTTCCTCGACGATTTTGATGTTATATTTCTTTGTTTTGTAGCCTGCGCATCCGGTCGAGTTGAAGAATCAGACACAGAACAGCACGGCTAATGGCGCCGATGGCCAGCAATCAACTTCGGAAGAGAAGTATGCTACATCGGCTAGTACAAGCAACAGCATAGGATGTGCTAATGTCAGTTCTAACAGGAATTGCAGTGGTAGACACTCCCTAATAGTCAAATATTGGGGTACAATCTATTCTGCTGCTCCATGGCTGATCGATTACTTGAGAATGCCACATCTCTGCGAGAAGTGCCATGAAAAGTTCAAAACGGAGGAAGATTTACGGATGCATCGCAATATTCATGTTGTTCAAAAGCCGTTTGAACGCGATTATTGCGGCTTGGGCTTCAGCTACGTAGGTGGTTATTGGTAAAAACCGTTCGGATGTAGCGCAATAATTTGAAGTTTGAGCTGAAAATTTCTCTGATACAGCACATGCGAGCTCATCATACTGGAGAGATGTCATGCGGTTGCGAGCAGTGCGAAGTTTCAGAAATGTGAGGAATTTAGGGGCGCATTGGAGAATTCGTACTGGGAAAAGCCATACAAATAGCAGTTTGTGACAAAAGGAATGTCCAAGGTAACTTAATTTAGTTCCAGAAAACTCCTATCGGGAAAAATTATACAAATTCAAATTTTGCTTTGTAGCATATTTATTCACATGATCGTACTTTTCTGTCTAGTTTCGCGAAGCAATAAGATAGCTAATTGTATGAGTGGCCGCTACTTTAGAGTTTAATATCGTGTTCAAATTGTTCTTGCGGTTTCTCATGGTTATCTAAAACTATTCGGTATTCCTATAACTATGCTATCTTTTCCAGTAAATTCAATTTGGCATCTCCGAAGATGCAGTGTTTTCACGTTTCAGCAATTATCAAGAAAAAAAGACAAACCAAGAATAACATGATCAAAGGGGCAACCACCGCTGCTCTGCCACTAGAATTCTCTTCCATAGTGCTGCTCAAACCTACGCCAGGGGCATTGATCCTAAATGATTTTCTCAGCTGATCTCACAAATTGCCCATATCTTCTGAAGCATATTCTCCAGTTTTGCGTACGCGTAACCGCATTAAAATAACTGACCAACGCACGGGCTGCCTGTGCGAAGATGCATTTTTTGCACAACTCCCTGCAGTTTTTGTCATTAACAGCACCGATTTTTTCGCGCAAATGCTTCTAGCTAAACAAATTAAGGCTGGCTGCCATCAGGAAATACCTCTCTTAAAATTTCAGCTTTCTAGCTTTCCTGGCTCCTGAGTTAGCAACTTACTGGAAAAAAAAATTTCACGGGCCCATATGTGGGTACCACGCATGCCCGATGTCTAGGTTTGACCTCAATTAATACCTACTTGGACGGGAAAGATTCCCTAAAAAATCCAGCCACGAAGCACATCTGGCTCCCGAGTTAGCAGCTTACCTGTAAAAAACTTTGGCGGATTCTTACATGGGTACAACGCCTGTAATGGCGCCCATTTTGGTGATTGGGGCTCGTACGTGCATGCAGATTAACTTCCCAAAGTTTTAGCCCAGTAGATTTGCAGGTCGGTGGGGCGGGAGAGTGAGGGGGAGAGAGAGTGGGTGATGGGTGCCCAGATGTCGTTACTGAGGTAGGGCTTGGAAACAGGATAAAGAAGGGGAATGAGGGTACTAGTCAGGAGTTTGAGTCAAGAACTGGAGACAGCAGTAAAGAAGAAGGGGCAACACAGTAGTACAAAGAAAAATGAATAAAAGATAACCTGAACTTATAAAGAAAAAACGGAAAAAAGCGAAATCAAGGAATCGGAACTTATGAATAAAAGCTGAAGAAAAACTGAGAGAACAGAAGCAAAAATTGGCGAACGCACGGGCTGCCCGTGCGAAGATGCGTTTTTTGCAGAGTTCCCCTCAGTTTTTGTCGCTACCG